CGCACGCGCGGACGCACAAGCACACAGACACGCACACACACACACACACACACACACACACACACACACACACACACACAAATTAAGATAGATTAGTTTAATAATATAATACTTACATTATATTATTATACATATATGTAATCTGAATCTTCAGAAAAGTGTTCAGGCTTAACTTCTTCGAATAAAATTGAAATTTCAGACTGATTCATTTCAATAGATTCGTCTCGTTCTTCCCTTTCGTTATTTATAGATACAATTATGTCTGTAATAGACTTAGCAGACGTGTCCTGAAAGGAAGAAAAATACGTATTTGAATATATAAAACTTTTTAACACAAGAATATATTACATATATGTGATTAAAAACACTAATAGAGTTTTCGAATGCAGCGGGTTTGAACCCAATCCGGGTCGAATCTTTGACGTTACATGAACTATTTCGATTTCTGATTGGACGAGATCATGATATTTTTAGGTCAAACATGTAGGATTAACCGACCCGGGTCAGGTTCAAACCCACTCCATTCGAAAACGCTATAAGAAAGACTATTAATAAATCTAAATCACAGACTTTAAACTATAATTTATTTCAAACTAACGTTTAAAACTAACGCATTTAAACTAACACCCGTTATAAAAAATAGTGATTTATTAAAGTTATATGTTGTACACTGCAACGTGTGTGTAATCTATATTTTGATAATAGATGGAATATATCTTACCTGAAACTTGATAATATTATTTTTTTTTCAGTTAGTATATTTTTTCTAAAATTTTAGTTTAATTCCTAGGACAAAGTCCTTTAGAATTTCTTCGACATTGTTTTCGTCAAGTTGTAAAAATATGTCAACATCTATTCATTTATCTGAAATCAAATTCCATATACAAAAAAGGAAAATATTATTTTTAGTAATTGTTTAACATATTTACTAATAAATTAACATTTATACTTTCAAAACGGTATAGCCAGAAGCCTACATTTTGTAAGCTTGTTTATTAATTCTCGTTTGACACTGACTCAAAAAAAATTTTGAAAAGAATAATTATTTCTAAAATCAAAAATGTTAGTCTGGGTCCACAACCTTGATTGCGTTCAAACATTGGACGCATTCAGTGGATTCAATAGTTGAGTGAATTGCTTGCTGTTATTTTTGTATTCTTCTAGATCTAAAATTCTGTTTGAATGATCTAAAAGAATACATCAAAAACAGCGAGTGCTCACTCAACTGTCGAATCGGTTGAACGCGCCCATTCACTGCTAGTACTGAACATCTCTAGTATATGTTACGTGTATTACAGATTTTCAGTACTGGCAGTGATTATGGCAACCCTAGACTTATACCATTTTTACGAGAATAATGCCCAATTTCTTCACTTCCAAATAAAGTTACGGATAACTTTATCCAGGAGATATCTCCATTGTATTCTGGAAGATATCTTCTGGATAAAGGTTATCTGGAGGTGAAGGGATTGAGCATAAAACGTAAAAATCTACATGGATCACAGACCTAACACGGTCCGAGGATTATATACATATAATTATAACCTAAGGAAATAGATGAATGTGACCTTGGCTGCGTTTCGTTACACGTATAATGCGCACGAAGTATCATTTTATCCTAGTGTTTGCAGAGTATAAAACAAGGAAATGATATCTCAGGAGTATTATATGTGCAACGGAACGTAGCCCTTGTCGTGGCGGCAGAGAAATGCCGATACCTGCACAAGCAGACGGATCTGTTGCAGGATTCATTGCTCATCTCATTTATATTATTTGTGAGTAGCAGATTCGCTGCGGCAGATTCGCCTGTATGTACAGGTAACCGACATTTCTTTGCCGTTGTGACGAAGTCGGCCGTTTGTTACAACGTAGGTTAGGCAAAACGAACTGAACGTTACTTACCTTTGAAAGTTTAAATCACATTTGGAGACATATCCCACGAATCTAACATTTCACTTACGAAATTATTTTCGTTTACTTCCTTTATTTCCGCCATCTTGATACTGGCGTCTGCCGACACCACCGAGTTTCAAGTTCCGTTGAACCACCCGACCGGTGCGGACGCGTCTCGGTTCGGGTGTTCGTTTTTTTTTGTATATTTTTGAGAAAGTGTTGCCGACTTTGACCGTGCCTCGAATTTCCTTACTGATGTGTGTCCGCGTTTGGCTCGGCTCGTTCGTCCGTCCGGACGCGCGTTAGAGTGGCGTGACGACGTTGCAATCGCAGGCGCCCGGTGTTCGTTCGGGTTTCGCCATTTTCCGCGGGCATTGCATCATTCTTCGTTTACATAATACGACTTTGTTTCGTTTACACATTACGATTTTCGTTCCTGGCCTTGACGATTGCCGTAGGATCGGCTACCCGGCCAATTATAATCGACAAGAAGAAGAACCACCGAGTTTCATATATACACACTTTTGCCCGCGAACGCGCAACAAATGAACATAGAATAATATAAGTCGAGCGCATTTTCAAATATGTAATTCTTAATCCAAGAATGAATATCTTTCAAATAATGTGATTGAACTTATTAGAACAATATAATGATTTTAGAAACAAGAATACGATTTCAAGAATAAAATATACTTCGCACAAATTTATTTTTTATTAATGCAAGTAAATATTTGTAATTAAAGAGAGTTTTTCATACTTAAAGAAAGCAAATAGCATTCAAGAATAAAAATATACGTGAATCAAGAATTCTGTTAGCGGTGCTATTCGCTGTCTTACCGTCTCTCATAGGGCGCTTGCTACGGCCAATTAGGGACCACTAGTTACTAGAGATTTTCTTTGTGATTAACACCTTAAAGTGGCAAGCGTATAATATAATAAAAAGCGCCACATTACAAGAAGAAACATTAGGTCTGTTCGCGTTGCTTGCACTTTTTGCACTTACCATCTTCGCTTTCTTTCTTTTTAAAGCCGAATATACATCTATCTCACTTTAAGTGCAAAATTATTTGGGGATTTCATGCAACGCGAACAGACCTATTACAGTATATAAGTACAAAACTCGTGCGTTAATAAAAGGTGCATTCTACGAGAAATATTTATAGTGGTGTTCTCTTTATATATAATCTCTCTCACCGGCATGAATAGTTCAAGCTCGAACTGTTAGTTTTAAATTAATAAACCTTTATTTACAGTAAGTAAATAAACCTTTATTAATTACAAATCTATCCTTCTATATTAGTTATTAAAGTAAGTAACTTAAAACTAACATTGGGTTATGGGCCCAGCGATCCTGAATTAATAAACAAGCGCGAATTTGTTTGCAATGGCTGAAAGCAGCAATAATCATTTTCTTTCTGTTGCGAAACTGCGCGGAAGAGAGAATTATATGACTTGGAAGATAGCAATGGAAAATCTACTCACTATAGAAGGATTGTGGACGGCGGTGCTTGGCACATAAACTGACGCGGATAAAGTTGCAAAAGCAAGAATTATACTCAGTGTTGATGAGGCTTTGTATATACATGTGGCGAACGCGGAAACAGCAAAGGATGCGTGGAGCAGTTTGTCATTGGCATTTCAAGATGATGGCCTTACACGAAAAGTCGGGTTACTGCGGAAAATTATCACAACAAAATTAGAAAACTGTGAATCTATGGAGAAGTATATCAATGAAATCATGTCTACTGTACATCAACTAACAGGTATAGGTTTTCAAATTAATCAAGAATGGCTAGGGACAGTTTTATTAGCTGGTCTTCCGGAGCATTTTCAGCCAATGATCATGGCATTAGAAAGTTCAGGGATGATGATTACCGGAGACTCAGTTAAGGTTAAGCTGTTGCAAGAATCAAGTAATTTTGAAAAATTGAAAAGTTCAAATGAAAATAATTCAGCAGCCTATCTAGCAAGATGTTACGCAAGAGATTCGCGAATGAAACAAAAGTCGATAGTTAAAATGTTGGACGTGTGGAAAGTTAGGACATATTTCAAAAGATTGTTGCAACGGACACATGGCGAACGAGTGCAGTGACAAGAAGAAAGATGATAAGGAAAACAAGGAAGATTATACTGAAGGTAGTAGTACTAAAACAGCATTTCTTACTGGAGCTTTTCTTAGCAAATATCAAGAAAGCAAGGACACGGATTGGATTCTGGATTCCGGAGCCTCTGTACACATGACGCCGAATAGAGAATTTTTTGATTCTTTTACAGAATTTGATGGAATGGAAATTGCGATGGCGGATATATAATAGTAAACTGTATGCAAAAGGTAAAGGCAATGTGTGATGCTATCAATATCATTATATGGTAAGAGTACTGAAATTATTGTAGAAAATGTGCTTTCCGAATTTAAGTGTTAATTTATTATCGGTAAGCAAAATAACTGAAAAAGTTTTTTTGTTGTTAGATTTGATAACAATATTTGTAAGGTACTTAAAGATAACCATGTAGTCGCTACTGCCAAAACAGTAAATAATATTTACAAACTGGTGCAATGAGTTGATACTGCACTCAATTGCAAGGTTAACACAAATAAGAATTCACAATGGCATAGAAGATTGGGACATTTAAATAGAAGAAGCATGAAACTGCTACGCGATCAACATGCAATAGGCCTGAAATTTGAAAATCCAGACGGTCCACAATGTGAGATTTGTGTCCGAGGTAAACAAGCACGTCAGGCTTTCCCGAAAGCAAGAAAAAAGTTAAAAACTTCAAAATCCTTGGAACTAATACATACTGATATCTGTGGGCTGATGGAACATGCATCGTTAGGAGGCTCAAGGTATTTTATACTTTTTATAGACGATTTTTCGAGGTATTTAAGTATATATTTTTTGAAGAATAAAAATGAAGCCTTAAGTGTATTTAAAAAGTATAAAGCCTATGTTGAAAAGCAAACAGGTTTACGTATTAAAGCTTTGCGCTCAGATAACGGACGAGAATTTGTTAACGAGGAATTTAGAAGTTTTCGACATAATATCTATGTTATAGATTTTAAGATTATATATTTTGCGCATTGCTAACAGCGTTGACTCTTAATAGCCTTTATGTATTTACTTAATTTTTTGTATTGTTTTAAAACATATAAGAGTCTATAATTCAATTATATTATTAATTTATTAAATTTTTTAGAAGTTTTCTTCAAGAAGAAGGAATTCAGCATCAATTAACAATTCATTACACCCCCTAACAAAACGGTTTGGCGGAGCGTTGCAATCGGACGGTAGTAGAAGTGGAGTAAAACTCCACATGAGCAGTGGACAAGAAAGAAGCAAGTCTTATCTCATTTAAGGGTGTTTAAGGTATTAGCACATATTCCAAGAGAGCAGCAAAAAAAATGGGACGAAAAAGCAAAATCATGTATTTTTCTCGGATATTTAGAACATACAACAGGATATAGACTATATAATGAAAATACAAAAAGGATATTTAAAAGTAGAGATGTAGTATTCTACGAAGATGAAGAATCTGTGACCTGTATAAAAGATGAAGAGCAGACGAATCCCATTTCTAGAAAAGCATCGATAAATGAAAATGAGGATAAACAAACTTACGAAAGAGTACCTATTATTCTGCAGAATAATGTAGACTCAGTGAGGGTTAATGAGTCAGAAGAGATTGAGGATAATTTGGAGGTTTTTGAAGCCGATGAAGAAACAGAAGGATCAAGTAAGGAAAATGAAAAGTTAATAGAGGACGGATCAAGTAGAGAAAATGAAGACTTAACAAAGGATGTAACTATTGCAGATAATCAGGACGAAACGTATCAAGTTTTAGAGGAAAGAGAATCCATTCTCCGTAGGAGCGATCGATTACATAAGCCAAAAAGTTGGAAAGATTTCTTTACTTACAACGCATCTGTAGAATCAGTAATGAGTGAAGAAACGGAACCTAAAACTTTCAAAGAAGCTTGTAGCGGAATACATAAAAAGCAATGGAACGAAGCTATGAAAGAAGAGTACAATGCACTGTGCACTGATAAGAAATGAAACATGGGAATTGTGCTTACCGCAAAAAGGAAGGAAAATTTTGAAAAGTAAGTGGGTGTACAAATTAAAACCAGGTTTGACCGAATGCCCACCACGATACAAGGCGAGACTAGTAGTCAAAGGTTATGAACAGATTCAGGGAATAGATTACAACGAAACCTTCTGCCCAGTAATAAGATTTAACACTCTCAGATGTTTGTTTGCTGTAGCCGCAGATCGAGACTATGATATAGAACATTTGGATGTCGTAACAGCCTTTTTGAATGGACAATTAGAAGAAGAAATATATATGGAACAACCACAAGGATTTATAAAGAAGAATCAAGAAGATAAAGTTTGCAAACTCAAGAAAGCGCTTTATGGATTAAAACAGGGAACATACACCTGGAATAAGAGACTAGAACAAGTTTTAAATAAAATTGGCTTCAAACGATCAGAAGTGGACAACAGTTTATACATATTAAAAAAGGATGAAAAAGTTATGTATCTGACAACTTATGTTGATGATCTTTTGTTATTTACAAATGATCAGAACTTGAAGAAGAAAGACATTGAGAAGCTTGAAGACAAATTCAAAATGAGAAATTTAGGCCCAGTGTCAAGGATTCTTGGCATCAATGTTTATAGAGATCGAGAGAAGAAAGAAATTATTTTTGATCAGAAGGAATATTTAGAAAATATCTTGAAACGTTTTAAAATGGAAGATTGTAATCCAATTAAAACACCACTCGATACAAATTTAAAACTGACAAAGGAGATCACCGAAGAAGAGGATGTACAGAAAAACATTCCTTATAGAGAAATTCTTGGAAGTCTAATGTACGCTTTTCAAGGAACACGACCGGATCTAGGTTGTGCGATCACAACCTTAAGTTCTTTTTCGGAGAATCCAGGGAAATCATATTGGATGGCGTTAAAGCGAGTTTTACGCTACATTAAAGGTACGAAGGACTTAAAACTAAAATTTAGTGGGTCCAAAGGCGCGAAACTTGTTGGTTATAGTGACGCTAATTGGGCTGGTGATATTGATAGTCGTCGTTCTACTAGTGGTTATATTTTTATGTTAAGAAATAATGTAGTATCATGGTGTTAAAAAAGGCAACAAAGCGTTTTACTTTCAACTACTGAGAATCAGAGTATATAGCGATAATTTTAGCTAGTCAAGAATTGTTATGGTTAAGAGAACTGTTAAAGGATATAGATAATTTTAATGTAACAGAACCAATTGATCTTTATTCTGATAATCAAAGTGCAATTAAACTTGTGCGCTCTAATAATTATCATGCGCGATCGCAACATATTGACACAAGATATAAGTTCATAAAAGAAAAAGTCGCTAATAAGATAATAAATTTAAAATATATTAATACTAAAAAGATGATTGCGGATGCGCTAACTAAACCTGTAACGTACGAAAAGAACAAATTTTGTAATCAAAGTATGAATTTGATAAAATAATATTATAAATGCGAGTTGAAATAAATAGGAAAGTATTATTATATGTTCACATAAAATATTATATTTTATAACACCTATAGTTCAAGTGAGGGAATGTTGGAATAATAAAGTGATCTAAAGGTGTATCAAGCTATAGGAAGTTTAGGCGTTTAGTATGAAGCTAGATATTAGATAACTATTGCGTTCTTCTGTTCTTTCTTGTATGTCTTCTTGCTACTAAGTTTGTATTATTGACTATTGAGATTAATTAATAAACCTTTATTAATTACAAATCTATCCTTCTATATTAGTTATTAAAGTAAGTAACTTAAAACTAACAGTTCAAGCTCGAACAAATTCATTTCTTTCTGTGTATGTTTATCGAAGTTTAATCAATCCAAAAAAAAAAAAATATGTTAATAACAAGGCTCAATAAATTTAAAAAATAATTAAAAGAAACAGGGCTACGAGCCAACATTCGTTAAAATATAAAGGCCTTAGTAAATATAATATGTCATTAGTTAAAAATAAATATAAAGTTTAATAAAATTTAAAAACAGACGTTTCGACCTTTATTAGGTCATTTTCAATGTTAAAAAAGTCGCAAAATCGTTAACAATTTACAAAACTATGGTAATTATAAAATTAAAAAAGCGAAGAAATGTATAAAATATTGACAAAAAAAACGAAAAATATGTTTTTAGATTTCAAGACAAGACTCTGCGCTCGGCAATTAGGCGGTCGCTTATATTGAGTTTGATGATGTCGCTTTTGGTCTTCGATCGGACCATATATGGTAATATTCGTTGCGCTAGAGGCGCGATCGCGTGATTAAAGAATGTGCAATCTTGCACTTCCGCTGTCGGTTGCCATGCCGAGTGCATTTAGGTATTTCGCGCGCTATGATCTTAGATCGACGCTTTGTCGCGCGCGGTTTAAAGAATGTGCAGACTTGCATTTCCGGTGCTGGTTGCTATGCCGGTTGAAATGAAATAATTGATAAAATAAGTGATAGCCATTCGGGCTATAACAGAATCAATTCCATCTTTGATATATAAAAATCTTTATTGAGTAAAACAGTAACATTTCCTTTGTCGGCATTAGTAATAAGAACGTTAGGATGTTCCTTTATAAATTTTTTGGTTAATTGTAACCATTCTAAAATATTTTTTTCAATAAAACTTGGTGAAGGAAAATTGTTATGAAGTCTATTAAGAATGGGAATAGAATTATTTCTGACATAATTGACAATATTATCAGGACGGCCCCTAATATTACCCTCAATATGCTTAATAAATTCAATAATTGTTCTTTCTTTATTGTATCCATTTATAGGAAGACCAAATTTTTCACCAAGTTGTAATAAGAACTGTACCTTCAAAGGAACGTCAATGTCACTTAAATTAATAAACCATTTGTTCTGTGGTATGTCAAGAGTAACCGAGTCTGTAAAACTAACTGGATCAACATAAATTTTCTCAGTGTCAGAATTGATATTAAGTGAAGAACTAGAAGGTAAAATTTGATTTCTATTAGAATTGTCATTTGAGATGTTACAATAATAATTAATAGGATTGATTCTTGATTTTGTTAATGCTAATCTTTTATTATTAAGCCAGTCAATTTTATTAGAGATACGACGCATTTGTTTAAAAAAATATAAATTACCGATAAAATCCAAATATTTAAAGAATTCGTATTGTACTCGGGAGGGTCTTAATAAACAAAATGATACAGAATCTTTACCAGAAACTTATTCTCAGATTATTAACTCTCTCTCTCCTTCGTAAATTTCCTTACTTTCTTCACTTTTATTCCCA